GAAGTGGAGAAAGATTCACATGGTCTATAGACATTAGTATCTTGAGAGTGATAGTTTTGGTAAATTGTCCAGCAAGTAGAAAATACTTGAATATTTGAATCATACAGAGAAGTATCAAGGTTGACGTAACGAATGCATGTGCACCCACTGCCCAGCTTTTCAGTTATTACTGCTTTCACATGTTTGCATCAAATTGTTTTTTAAGAAATAAAAAGTACAGGCCGGGTGCGATGGCTCATGCCTGTAATCCCAGCACTTTGGGAGGCCGAGGCGGGCGAATCACAAGGTCAGGAGATCAAGACCATCCTGGCTAACACGATGAAACCCCGTCTACTAAAAATACAAAAAAATTAGCGAGGCGTGGTGGCGGGTGCCTGTAGTCCCAGCTATTTGGGAGGCTGAGGCAGGAGAATGACGTAAACCGGGGAGGCAGAGTTTGCAGTGAGCTGAGATTGCGCCACTGCACTCCAGCCTGGGCGACAGAGCGAGATTCCGTCTCAAAAAAAAAAAAAAACAGAAAAGAAATAAAAAGTACAGATGTGGTTGAAATTTTCAGTGGAACTCTTTCTAATCCTGCTCCCTTCCCTCCCTCCGTCCACTGGGGTAACCGGTATTCTAGGTTTGGTCTTTGTCATTCTCTTGCATTTGTCTATATTTGCTATTATGTGTCTGTATGATTAAACAATACTTAGCATTGTTTTGCATGTGTTAAATTTTATATTAATGGTATCACTGTGATACTATGTTTCTGTAATATGTTTATCTCATTCAACATTTTTTTGAGATTCACCCATGTTGATAATGTGGCTGTTTTTATTTTAACTGTTATTTGGTGTTCCATTCATTATCTGAATATTTCTTTCTCCGTTGTTGTTGTTTTTTTGAGATGGAGTTTCACTCTGCTGCCCTGGCTGGAGTGCAGTGGCGTAGTCTCAGCTCACTGCAACCTCTGCCTCCTGGGTTCAAGCAATTATCCTGCCTCAACCTCCTGAGTAGCTGGAACTACAAGCACACACCACCATGCCTGGTTAATTTTTGTATTTTTAGTAGAGATGGGGTTTTACCATGTTGGCCATGCTAGTCTTGAACCTCAAGTGATCTGCCCACCCCAGCCTCCCAAAGTGTTGGAATTACAGGCGTGAGCCACGGCATCCAGCCTGAATATTTCATATATTGGTAGATACTCAGGTTTGTAATTTTTTCTATTTTGACAATGTACCACAGTAATACATTTTACATTGTGACCCAAAATAAATGAATACACATATAGCCAAAACTACAATTTTTAATGAGGTAATACCCCTACTGCAAATTATATACTCTGTGATGTGTTCTGCTCTGTTCTATTTTATTAGAAAAAAATGCACTCGACCGGGCACGGTGGCTCACGCCTGTAATCCCAGCACTTTGGGAGGCCGAGGCGGGTGGATCACTTCAGGTTGGGAGTTCGAGAGCAGCCTGACCAACATGGAGAAACCCCGCCTCTACTAAAAATACAAAATTAGCTGGGCGTGGTGGCACATGCCTATAATCCCAGCTACCAGGGAGGCTGAGGCAGGAGAATTGCTTGAACCTGGGAGGCGGAGGTTGCGGTGAGCCGAGATCGTGCCATTGCACCCCAGCCTGAGCAACAAGAGTGAAACTCTGTCTCAAAAAAAAAAAAAAAAAAAAAAACACTCATGAGCCACTGAAAGGCCACACTAGCTGTAGCTTGAAAAGTACTACTGGAGGATATACCCAGGAGGGGAATTGGAGGGCCAAAGATGTCCATTTTCAACTTTACTAGATATTGCTAAATGTCTTTCCAAATCGTGTTCATTTACATCCCCACAAGCAGTGTGCTGTAGTGCCTGTTGCTTCTCATTCTCACCATTGGTGTTACCAGTCTTTTTCATTTTTGCCAATCTGGTAGGTATGAAATGGCGTCTCAGTGTTGGTTTAATTTGCATTTTTGAGCTAGAGGTTCCAGCCAGTGCAGTAAGACAAAGTAGAGCACCATTTTAGATCTTTATTGACTTCTCAATTTTCTTTATTTGCCTATTTCCTGTTTATACCTTTGCCCATTTTCCAACTCAGTTTTTTGGTCTTTTTTCTTATCAATTTGTAAAAATTACTGATATATATTTTGCATTCCTTTCCCAATAATATGTAATATGTAATTATTTTAATATTACATTTAATATTACATATTATGTAATCTGGGAGGCGGAGGTTGCAGTATGCATTTTTATGCATACATAAAAATAATATGTAATTATTTTCTCCCAGTTTGTTGCCCACCCCATTTATTTTATTTTTTTGTTCATGAAGGTTCTTATTTATATTATTGTGAAATTTATTAATCTTTTACCTTATGGTTTATCCTTTTGGGATTTTGTTTAAGGAATTCTTCTTAACTCTGACTTTATAAAATATACTAGTTTATTGTAGAAATTATAATTTTTTCAAATTTTCATTTTTAAAGGTATTTATTTATTTATTAGAGATAGGGTCTCACTCTGCCCCTCTCTTGCCCTCCCGTACTCCTCTTTCTTTTTTTGATACGGAGTCTTGCTCTGTCACCCAGGCTGGAGTGCAGTGGTGTGATCTTGGCTCACTGCAACCTCCGCCTCCCAGATTCAAGCGATTTTCCTGCCCCAGCCTCCCAAGTAGCTGGGACTACAGGCATGCGCCACCATGCCCAGCTAATTTTGTATTTTTAGTGGAGATGGAGTTTTACCATCTTGGTCAAGCTGGTCTCAAACTCCTGACCTCAGGTGATCCTCCCGCCTCAGCCTCCCAAAGTGCTGGGATTACAGGCATGAGCCACTGCGCCTGGCCAGATCTTGAGTTTCATGAGTATATACATTTTTAAAATTTATTGAATGTATACTTGGATTTGTACACTTCATTATATGCAAATTTTACCTCAAAAGAAAAAAATTGTAAAATATTGAACTCTAGCTGATGCTGTACCTGCTGAAGTATTTAGGGGGATCATACTGATATTCGCAGTTTGCTTTGAAACACATTAAAAAAACCTCAATGTGAGTTGATGAATGGATAGAAAGATGGATAGATATGTATAATAAGATGTTAAAATTCAACTTTGCACATATGTTTGGAAGTTTTTATAATAAAATATTGGACTCCTACAACTCAGCTGCAAGAAACCAAATAACTCAATATAAAAAATGGGCAAGGGACTCGAATAGACATCTCTGTAGAGAAGACATAAAATCACCAACAGGTTAGATGCTCAACTGTCATCAAAAATATAAAAGATAACTGGTGGCAGTGAGGTCATAGAGCAACTGGAACCCTTATATACTGTTGGGAATGTACAGTGGTCCAGCCACTATGGAAAACAGCATGGAGATTCCTCCAAAAAATTAAAACTAGAATTGCCATATATGATCCTAGCGTCTCACTTCTGGGTATTTATCCAAGAGAATTAAAATCAGGACCCCAAAGAGATATCTGCACTTCCTTGTTCATTGTTGTGTTATTTACAATAGCAAGATGTGAAAATAGCCTAAATGCCCATTGGTGGATGAATGGCTAAAGCAATTGTGATCTGCATGTACAATGGAACATTATTCACCCTTAAAAACACAAGAGAATGCTGTCATATGTGACAACGTGGTTCAACCTTGGGGACATTATGATAAGTGAAACAAACCGGTCATAGAAAGACACACACTGCATAATTGTGCTTATAGAAGGTATCTAAAATAGTCATAGAAACAGAGGAGAATGGTGGTTGCCAGGATCTGGGGTGAGGGACAGATGGGGAGTTGCTCTTCAGTGACGCAAGGGGAATAAGTTCTAGATAGCCATGTAACATTGGGCTTATAGTTAGCAATGATGTATTGTACACTTTACATTTTAAGAGAGTAGATAATATGTTGAGTGTTCTTACCACAATTTTGAAAAATAAATAAAATGTTGGGAAACGCAGCAATAAAATTTTTTCCATAACAGCTATTTATGATGGAAAGAAAGGTAAAAAGCAGTCGTTTATTTTTTATTTGCTTTGAGGTTCTTTAGAGGGGTTTATTTAAGTCAGGCTGATTATATTACTAACAACATGTAGAAAAGTTCATTTAGGTTTACAGGGAGGCTTATTTTATTTGAGCCACTTAGAATATATATGCCAATATACAGATGAGCAATTAAATTTAATTTTTATTTAAGCCTTTTACAAGATTCACAAATAAAGATAAAGGTAACATGCCTTTTAAAAAAGATTGTCTTTGATATGTTGAGGTCCCAGGAATCAGAGACTTCAACAGTTCCTTCGAGTCTACCCTCCATCTACCCTTGAAAAGACAAAACAAGACATTATACATTAGTTTCAGGGCAAGCCAGACTAACTTTTATTAACATTTTCTCAGAGTGGGAAAGTTATCTCTTTTCTGCCAGAATGCCTTCATCAACTTGACCTTGTGTTGAACATCTTCATTTTTGGCACAATTCCCAGATATACAAGAAAATTTTTTCAATTACGATGGTATTCATTCAGATACTCCTTTAGGTGTTGTTGGAGTTCCAAATGTGAGTGATTATCTCCAACTTTCTTAACTTGGCAGTGTCTTGGAGTAATGGAAACAGGGACACAGGGATAGAAGTAAAATCTGTAAATTTTTTCAATTTTGGCAAGCTTTTCCTCTTAGTGCTGCAATTTTTCCTAGCACCTCTAAGAATATTGCCTTAACAGTATGGGCATGCTGGCAAAACAAAGCCAAACAAAAACAACATTATACAAAATTCAAACTGGTGTGTGGTGGGGAGGTGTAAATCATTTGCTTTTTTACAAGATTCATTATATGTTTTATTGGTAAATCACAATATGAATCATGTTAAACAATAGTGAAGTATATTGATAATATCAGGACCATTCTATATTTACTGACAACATATTGGGAACGCAGTGCTACCTTTTTTGTACCTTTAATTGTTTCTGTCTTGAACAGTTTACAGGCAGCTGCCTAATCTCAGCACATACGTTATTATTTCAGGTCCTGTGGGAATGGCCGCTGCTGCTGCTGTGGCAACAGGAAAGAAACGGAAACGGCCTCATGTATTTGAGTCTAATCCATCTATCCGGAAGAGGCAACAAACACGTTTGCTTCGGTGAGGGCTCACTTATCCGTATTATTACTATTCCTCAAATACTTCCTGTGAATGACAGACTTAGAACATATATGGTTAGGTTTGTCAAGGATGCTTGGTTTGATTCCTTGATGACAGATGTAGACTTAAAAGTATTCTTACAAAATTAAATACATGAAAACAAAGAAATATGATTTAACAGATATGTAATATCACATTAATCCATTCAGAAAAGTTGTATGCCTGCTATGTGCAAGCCATTGTTGTAGACATTGGGCATAGAAGAGTGAACAAAACAAGTTGCTTTAAAGAGCTTGTATCCTGCTAGAAGGGAGAAAGAAAAAAAACGATATGCAATATGTCAGGTGATGATAAGTGCAATGGGAAAAAAAATACAGTGGAGTAAGGAAAATAGAAAAGTCAGGAGGTAGGGGGATATAGTCATTTTTCTCTTTTATGAGGATGGTCTGGGAAATGCTTTTTGATAAGGCAGCCTTTGAACAGAGACTTGAAGACGCTGAAAGAGCACACACATTGATACTGAGGGGAAGAACATCTCAGGCAGGGGGAGTATCAAGAACAAAGACCCCGAAGTGTGAATGTGGTAGTTGTTTTTGAGGAACAGCCAGGGAGATATGAGAAGATGTTCGGAGTAGTAGAGAAGAGCCACTCCAGGAGATCTTTTTTTTTTTTGATAGATGCGGTCCTGCTATGTTGTCTAGGCTGGTCTGGGACTCCTGGCCTCAAGCAATCCTTGTGCCTCATCCCCAAAATGCTGGGATTACAGGTGTGGGTCACTGCACCTGGCCTAGGAGATCTTATAGTCCAATATCAGGGGCTTGACTCTTACTCTGAGTGAGATGAGATGTCAGTGTAGGTTTTTGACCAGAGCAATGGTATCATCTTACTTACATTTTTAAAGAATCACTCAGGCTACGGTGTTGAGAATAGAATCTGAGGATACAAGAATGCAGTCAGGGAGACCAATTAGGTGGTGATTATAGTAATCTAGGCCAGAAATGATAGTGTCTTAAAATCAACATGGCAGCAGCATGGGTAGTAAGAAGTGATCAGGTTCTAGATGTATTTCAAAAGTCAACTCATCATGATTCGTTGACGTGGAGTGTGCGAGAGAAAAAGGAGTGCAGGGTGATTTTTGGTCCGATTACTAGAAGGATTGCGATGGCATTTACTGGAGAGGGAGCAAGCATGACAGTGAGGGTGAGACAGAATCAGGAATTTGGTTTTGGACCTGGTAAGTTTGTGATGCCTCTAACCATTAAGTGGAGATACAAAATAAGCAGTTGGATATATGAGTCTGAAATTCAAATGAGAGGCCTTAGTTGAAGATGATATAAGCATATAAGTAGTATTTAGAACTAGGAGACTGGATGAGGTCACTTAGGGAGGGAGTACGGACTGAGGCCTGAAGCGCTCCACCTTTTGGAGGTTAGAGAGATGAAAGGAGCCAGCAAAAGAGTCTAAGAAGCAACCAGTGAGTCAGGAAACAAACCAAGAGAGTGGTATCCTGGAAACCAGGTACAAAAAGTGTGTCAGGAAGGAGAGCATGTGATCAGCTATCAAATGCTTCTGACAGGTTGAAAAAGATGCCAACTGACCATTAGATTTAGTAACATGGAGTTCACGATTGAACTTGACAAGAGTGTATTCAAAGGAGCGGTAAGGGTGAAAAGATTGGAATAGCTTTAAGGGAGAATGGAGAGAGGGGAATTAGAGACGGTGAATATAAACCATTGTTTCAAGGCATTCCATCAGATTTCTTGTTTGATAAGTGGTCCTTTGCTCACACATTTCAGAATTCTGAAATGTAGAACTTTGAAATCATCTCCCATGATTTCAGAGGGAAGAGGCTGTGTTTCTGTTTCATCCATTGTTACTATGTTTTAAAAAGCTGTTTTTGGGTTGATGGGTACAGCAGACCACCATGGCATATGTATACCTTTGTAACAAACCTGCACATTCTCTACATGTATCCCGGAACTTAAAGTAAAATAATTTTTTTTAAGCCGTTTTCGGCTGGGCACGGTGGCTCACGCCTATAATCCCAGCACTTTGGGAGGCCAAGGTGGGCAGATCACCTGAGGTCGGGAGTTCAAGACCAGCTTGGCCAACATGGTGAAACCCCATCTCTACTAAAAATACAAAATATTAGCCAGGCGTGGTGACAGGCACCTACAATCCCAGCTAGTCGGGAGGCTGAGGCGGGAGAATAGCTTTAACCCAGGAGGCGGAGGCTGCAGTGAGCCAAGATTGCACCACTGCACTCTAGCCTAGGTGACAGAGTGAGACTCCATCTTAAAAAAAAACTGTTTTCATTTCATCCTCACTTGTGAAATACTGTAGGACTGAGAATAATTGTTTATATCACAATGAAAATCTGAAGCTACAACGTTTTAAAAGCATAGGTATACCTTGGAGATATTGCAGGTTTGGTTCCAGACCACTACAATAAAGCAAGTAGCACAATAAGTCACAGAAATTTTTTGGTTTCTCAATGCATAAAAAAGTTATGTTAACACTATACTCTGTTAAGTGTTGCAGTGGTATTATGTCTAAAAAAAGCAATGTACATACCATAATTTTAAAATGCTTTTTTTTTTTTTTTTTTTTGGAGAACAAATTCTAGCTCTCTTGTCCAGGCTAGAGTGCAGTGGTGCGATCATGGCTCACTGCAGCCTCCATCTCCTGGGCTCAAGTGATCCTCTCACTTAGCCTCCCAAGTAGCTGGGACAATAGGTTCATGTCACCATACCTGGCAAATTTTTTCTTCTTTTTGTGAAGACAGGGTCTCACTATGTTACCCAGACTGGGCTTAAACCTCTGGGCTCAAGCAATCCTCCCGCCTCAACCTCCCAAAGTGCTGGAATTACAGGTGTGAGCCACTGGCCCTGACCACTAAAACACTTAATCACTAAAAAGATGCTAATGCTCATCTGAGCCTGCAGTGAGTCATCGTCGTATTGCTGGTTGAGGGTCTTACCTCGGAGTTGATGACTGCTGACTGATCAGGGTAATTGTTGCTGACGGTTGGGGTGGCTGTGGCAATTTCTTAAAAATAAGACAACAAATTTTGCTGTATGGATTGACTCTTTCTTTCATGAATGATTTCTCTGTAACATGTGATGCTGTTTGATAGCATTTTACCCACGGTAAAACTTTCAAAATTGGAAAATTAATCCCCTCAAACTCTGCTGCTGCTTCATCAATTCAGTTTGTGTCATATTCTAAATCTTTTATTGTCATTTCAACAGTATTCATAGCATCTTCATCAGGAGTAGATTTCATCTCAGGAAACTGCTTTCTTTGCTCATCAATAAGAAGCACCTCTCATCCCTTCAAATTTTATCATGATATTGTAGCAATTCAGTCCCATTTTCAGGGTCCACTTTTAATTCTGGTTCTTTTACTGTTTCTACTGCATCTGCAGTTACTTCCTCCACTGAAGTGTTGAACTCCTTAAAGTCATGCATGAGGCTTGGAATCAAGTTCTTCCAAACCTCCATTAATGTTGATAATTTGACCTCCTCCCATGTACTTGTAGATGAATTACAAGTACTCTTAATGGCATCTTGAATGGTGAATCCATTCTAGAAAGTTTTCAATTTATTTTACCCAGATCCATCAGAGGAATCATTATAGCAGCTGTATCCTTTCAAAATGTATTTCTTACTTAATAAGACCTGAATGTTGAAATGACTCCTTGATCCATGGGCTGCAGAATGGATGTTGTCTTAGCAGGCATGAAAACAGCATTAATCTCTTTGTACATCTCCGTTAGAGCTCTTGGGTGACTAGGTGCATTGTCAATGTGCAACAATAGTTTGAAAGGAATTTTTTTTTTCTGAGCAGTGGGTCTCAACAGTGGGCTTAAAATAGTCCATAAACCATGCTGTAAACAGATGTACTGCCATCCAGGGTTTATTATTCTGTTTACAGAGGACAGGCAGAATAGATTTAGCATGATTTTTAAAGGACCCTAAAGTCACTAGCTGCATTAGGCCCTAACAAGAGAGTCAGCCTGTCCTTTGAAGCTTTGAAACCTGGCATCGACTTCTCTCTAGCTAGGAAAGTCCTAGATGGTATCTTCTTCCAATAGAAGGCTGTTTTGTCTACATTGAAAATCTGTTGTTTAGTGTAACCACTTAGCTAAATCATCTGGATAACTTGCTCCAGCTTCTACATCAGCACTTGCAGCTTCACTTTGTACTTTTATGTATTAGAGATGGCTTCTTTCCTTGAACCTCATGAACCAACCTCTGAAACAGTCAGGGCTTTGCTCTGCATTAGACTTTGGCCTATGGGATTGTTGTGGCTGGTATGATCTTTTATCCAGACCACTAAAACTTTCTCCATATCAGCAATAAAACTGTTTTGCTTTCTTATCATTTGTGTGTTCATTGGAGTAGCACTTGTAATTTCTCTCAAGGACTTTCCTTTGCATTAACAACATGGCCAACTGTTTGGCATAAGCGGTGTTGCTGTCAGCCTGTCTTGGCTTTCGACATGCCTTCCACACTAAGCTTAGTCTTGTCTAGCTTTTGATTAAAAGTGAGAGATGTGCAACTCTTCCTGAAACTTGAACATTTAGAGGCCATTATAGGGTTATCAGTTGGCGTAATTTCAATACTGTGTCTCAGGGAACAGGAAGGCCTGAGGAGAGGGAGAGAGGCAGGAAACAGTTGATCAGTGGGGCATTCAGAACACACACAACATTTATCGGTAAAGTTTGCTGTCTTTTGTTGGGCACTGTTTGTGGTGTCCCAAACCAATTAAAATAGTAACATCAAAGATCACTGATCACAGATCACTATAACAGATTATAATCATAATGGAAGAGTTTGAAATGTTACTAGGGTTACCAAAATGTGACACAGAGACATGCAGTGAGCACATGCTGTTAGGAAAATGGCGCTGATGAACTTGCTTGACATTGGGTTGCCACAAACCTTTGTTTTAAAGAAAGATCCCACAGTGTCTGTGAAACACAAAGTAACAAAGCACAATAAAACTAGGTATGCTTGTAGTACTTTTGGATAAAATTATCTCAATGAGATATAAACAATATCAATAAAAGGTAGTAAAAGCAAATCATTTGAGCCCCTTTTATTAAGCGTGGAGATGATATAATAAATTTTGTAAGAGCACATCTTGGTTGTAATTTTTTTTTTTTGAGGCAAAGTCTCGCTCTGTTGCCTAGGCTGGAGTGCAGTGGCACCATCTTGGTTCACTGCAACCTCCACCTCTTGGATTCAAGCAATTCTCATGCCTCAGACTCCCAAGAAATTAGGATTACAGGCATGTGCCACCAAGCCTGGCTAATGTTTTTGTATTTTTAGTAGGGACGGGCTTTACACCATGTTGGCCAGGCTGGTCTCGAACTCCTGGCCTCAAGTGATCCGCCCGCCTCGGCCTCCCAGAGTGCTGGGATTACAACAGAAATGAGCCACCGTGCCTGGACAGTTGTAATCTTTATAATTTTAAGTAGCAGTAAGTGGTGTTACTCAGATCAAGAAGAATGATACCTTGTTCAAAATTGTGTCGTGGTTATGTCCCAAGGCAAAACCTTCAATTGAGCCTTCTATCGGTAGTCTTTAAAAAAAAGGTATGTACATGTTTCTGCTGATCCCCTTTTCACATTTTACGTAAAAGAAAGCATATCTGATCAGAGTAAACTGTCTTTTTTTTTTTTTTTTTTTTTTGAGACGGAGTCTCACTCTGTCGCCCGGGCTGGAGTGCAGTGGCCGGATCTCAGCTCACTGCAAGCTCCGCCTCCCGGGTTTACGTCATTCTCCTAGAGTAAACTGTCTTAAGTCATTTGTGTCTATGTCACTATAATTTCCATCTTTTTAAAACTGTTTTTATTCTTGTTTCCTTTTCTGATTCAGGAAACTTCGAGCCACATTAGATGAATATACTACTCGCGTGGGACAGCAAGCTATTGTCCTCTGTATCTCACCCTCCAAACCTAACCCTGTCTTTAAAGTGTTTGGTGCAGCACCTTTGGAGAATGTGGTAAGTCACAACCAAGCTGTTCTCGCTTGCCCTTTGCTTTCTGTCAGCTGCTTCCATTGTTCTGATCCTCTGTCAAGAATAACAGCTGGCATTTCTGTTACCCCCTAATCCAGGCATGGGAGAGGGGACTAGTTTTCAGATTGCTTTATGCATATCAAAACAAAATGATCATTACTGTTTTTACTTCCTGTGTCAAGGTATTTTACCTGCCCAGATGCAATGGGTGGCCGGGGGAAGTGGGGACGGGAGGGGGAAACAAGGGGTTTTGTTTGTTAGGAAACAATGCAGGATTTTGTAAGAAAATTACTGATTTATATCAGAAACAAAATAGTAGATAATTCCAAGGTGTCAATTTCCTAAGGGAAACCTGGGGGGCATTTTATTGATCAGTTATTTGAGTTACATATTTGAAATCTCTTACATTTATCAAATAATTGATTTAATACTCTGCTGCAAATATAGAACTATATTTGAACATTTTGATTGTATAACTATCCAGAGCTAATTTTATAAAAATAGTCTTTTGCCCCTGCATACTTATACAATAGGAACTATTCCTTCTGGGGCCAAATTAACTTTGAATCAGTGGAGTAATGATCTGTCAAGATTTAAATTGCATTTTGTTTTTATTAGGATAAAATTCATTAGCTTAAAATGACATTTATTAGATGTCTCCCATATTGAATAAAGGCATTTTTTGAGTTCAGAATTAGTAATCAATTGATAGAAATTCTGTTTGTTGTATTTTTTTTCACACCATCTTCCCATCCCTGAAATGTTGTGGGTATTTCTTAACATTTTTGAGTTTTATTTTGAGTTTTTCCAAAAATTCCTGAAGCCCTACAGTTAGGATGTGTTAGGACTTTTCCTTAGAAGAATATAGTAGAAGGCTCCTACTTCAAAATGTTATCTGAGAAATAGCCTTTACTGTCACACTGTTGACAAACACGAAATCTGGGCATGTCTTCTCTTCTTTAGTACCAAAAATCTAAAACAATACTACTGATAGTAGTAAAGATGATGCAGTCTATGAAAAAGATTCATCTAGAAGACTCAGAAAAATACTTCAGAAAATTACTCACTGCAAAAACATTTTTTTAAGTTTTGCAAAACTGTTGGAGTCCCCCATAGAATACAGGAAGATATAGACTCTGTTAAACAAGATACACTAGACTGAGATAAAAAGCATTTTACCTTTGACTGACATTGATAAATACAGGTTAGGGACTACAAGTACCAGTAAAATTAGAAGCAGAATATATCTTCCAGAGCACTGAAGAAAAAAAATGAAACCAAGTCTCTGTATAAAAGATAGAAACAAGGAAGGAATTTTTAAAAACTAAATAAAACACATAGTCTAGAACACTAATACAAGTGAGGCCAGTTAATTCTGTTATAAAACATACATATAAATGGGTTAAACTGCCTTGTTAAGGGCATAGATGTTCTTTCAGGTTGAAACAACAATCCAAATCAAACCTGTCTCTATTCAGTGTATATGTCATACTCATAGCCACTTAACAAATGTTAAAAGCAGCTGCAAGTAATAGAATCAAGAAAGTGAAAAGACAGCGCAGAATGGGAGAAATATTTGCAAGTCATATGTCTCATAAAAAAAACTTGTGTTGAGAATATACAAGGAATTCTTACAACTCAACAATAAAAAGCGGGCGGATCATGAGGTCAGAAGTTTAAGATCAGCCTGGCCAATATGGTGGAACCCCATCTCTACTAAAAATACAAAAAAAGCCAGGCGTGGTGGCACCTGCCTGTAGTCCCAGCCACTCGGGAGGCTGAGGCAGAAGAATCTCTTGAACCCGGGAGGTGGAGGTTGCAGAGAGCCAAGATTGTGCCACTGCATTCCAGCCTGGGCAACAGAGCAAGACTCCATCTCAAAAAAAAAAACAAAAAGACAACCCAATTTAAAAATAGACAAAAGGGCCACGCACAGTGGCTCACGCCTGTAATCCTAGCACTTTGGGAGGCCAAGGCAGGTAGATCACTTGAAGTCAGGAGTTCAAGACCAGCCCGGCCAATATGGTGAAACCCTATGTCTACTAAAAATACAAAAATTAGCCAGATGTGGTGGTGGGCACCTGTAATGCCATCTACTCAGGAGGCTGAGGCAGGAAAATTTCTTGAACCCCGGAGCCAGAGGTTGCAGTGAGCCGAGATCACGTGCCGCTGCACTCCAGCATGGGTAACTGAGTGAGACTCTGTCTCAAAAAATAATAAAAATAAAAATAGGCAAAAGATCTGAATAGATACTTCTTCAAAGAAGATATAGAAATGGTCAAAAAGCACATGAGAACTAATGATAAATATCATTAATCATTATAGTCATTTATCATTAATAATCACATTTTGATTTTTCATTTCCCTCATGACTATGATTATTAATCATTAGAAAATAAAAACCACAGTGAGATACCACTTCATAACCACAGGGATGACTATAATCAAAAAGACAACAATAAGTGTTGGTGAAGATTTGGAGAAAGAAAAGGCAAAATGATACGGCTGCTTTGGAAAACAGTTTGTCAGTCTCACAAAATGTTAAAAGTAGTGTTGCCATGTGACCTAGCAGTTCTATTCCTGAGTTATACCCAAGAGAACTGAAAGCGTATGTTCACACACAAACTTGTATACAGTGTTTATAGCAGCATTATTTATAATTGCCAAAAAGTGGAAACAACTCAAATGTTCATCGGCTGATGAATGGATAAATAAAATGTGGTATATCCATAGAATGGAATATTATTCAGCAAGAAAAAGGGAAGAAGTACTGATATTATACTACAGCATGGATGAACCTTTAAAACATTGTTGTAACCAAAAGAACTCAGTCACAAAAGATCACATATTGTAGGATTCCATTTATATGCAATGTCCAGGATAGATAAATCTTATTTATAGAGAGAGAGTAGATTAATGGTTGCCAGAGACTGGGGAAGGGGAAGGGAGGAATGGGGAGTGACAGCCAGTGGGCATGGAGTTTCTTTTAGGAGGAATGAAATGCTCCAAAATTAGATTTTGGTGATAATTTTAGGACCCTAAGAGTATGAAGTCTTACCCTTTAAATGGGTGAATTGTATGGTATGGCAAACTGAATAATGACCCCCCCAGAGACGTACAGGTCCCCATCCCTGGAACCTGTGACTGTTGTTACCTTATACAGCAAAAGTGCAGTTGTAATTAAGTTAAGGGTCTTGAGATGGGGAGATTATTCTCGATTATCCAGGTAGGCCCTAAATGTAATCACAAGTATCTTTATAAGAGGGAAACGAAGGGAGATTGGCATAGAAGTAGATGTGTTGGTGGAAGCAAGAGGTTGGATGCAAGGAGGGGGTCCAGAGCCAGTGATACAGGCTAGGCAGAAGCTAGACAAGACAAAGAAACAATTCTCTCTTAGAGATGCACCCTTAGAGCCTGCAGAAGGACCCGGCCCTGCCAACACCTTGACTTTTGCCAAGTGAAACCAAGAAAATAAATTTGTGTGGGTTGGGTTTAAGCCACCTAGTTTGTGGTGATTTGTGGGAGCCATAGGAAACAAATACATATGGTGTGTGAACTGTGTATTAGTAAAGCTGTTACAAATGTTAAATGTAAAATAACAGGCAAAAGTTTGTCAGAAAAATGCCTACAAAAATAAATCATGGATCACAGCGTTAATATCAGACAAAGCCTAATTGTCAAGGCAAAAAAGTATTAACGACAACCAGGGGTCATTTAGTATTGATAAGAAGTATTTATTTATTAATTTATTTATTTAGAGACAGGGTCTTGCTCTGTTGCCCAAGTTAGAGTGTAGTGGTGCAATCTCGGCTCACTGCAATCTCCACCTCTTGGGCTCAATTGATCCTCCCGCCTCAGCCTCCTGAGTAGCTGGGACTACAGGCAGGTGCCACCACACCTAGCTAAAATAAGAAGTACATATTTATCATGAACCTTTATATTCTTCAGGTAACTTTAAAGCAAAACATGGGGTCAGGTGCAGTGGCTTATGCCTGTAATCCCAGCACTTGGAAGGCTGAGGTGGGAGGATTTCTTGAGGCCAGGAGTTCAAGACAAGCCTGGGCAACATAGTGGGACCTCGTCTACACACACACACAAAAAAAAGCCGGGCATACTGGCCCACACTCAGCTACTTGGGAGGCTGAGGCAGAAGGATTGCTTGAGCCCAGGAGATCAAGGCTGCAGTGAGCCATGATGCTACTGCACTCCAGCCTGGGTGACAGAGTGAGACCCTGTCTGTCAGTCAGTCAGTCCACCAGACATACACATACCACAGCATGTAGATCAAAAAGTTAGAAATGTAAGGAAAAAAGGTAGTTAAAACCCACAGTGGGGCTGGGCACGGTGGCACATATGTATAATCCCAGCACTTTGGGAGCTGAGGTGGGAGAATTGGTTGAGGCCAGGAGTTTGAGACCAGCCCAGGTAACATAGTGAGACCTCATCTCTACAAAAAATTTAAAAATTAGCCAGATGTGGTACCACATGCTTATAATCTCAGCTTCTTGGGAGGCTGAGATGGGAAGATTGCTTGAGCCCAGAGGTCAAGTCTGCAGTGAGCTGTGATTGCACCACTGCACTCTAGCCTGGATGACAGGATGACAGCCTGTCCAAAAGAAAAAAAAACACACACACACACACACACACACACACACACACACAATGGTAGTAAAAGAATTTACTATCCTTGTCAGATCAACAAAGCAAAATATAAACAAGAATATAGAGATATGAATAACAGATTTAATAAGGTTGACAGTCTAGGCAACATAGCGAGACCTTGTCCCTACAAAAAAATTTAAAAAAAAAAAAATTGATCCAGGTGTGGTGGTGCGCACTTTTAGTCCCAGCTATTTGGGATGCTGAGGCAGGAGGATTACTTGAGCCTAGGAGTTCAAGGATGCAGTGAACTATGATTATTCCACTGTGCTCCAGCCTGGGTGACAGAGTGAGACAATGGCTCAAAAAACAAAAGAATAAAGGTG